TCCATTGATATAGGTTCAGTCTTTTGTGAACATTTTTGGACCAAAAAATAATTCAATTCAAAAGATCGTTCAATAAAAATTGTCCAACAAAAATGTAATTACTTCACATTGTTATATCTCCAGTTCCACTATAACTCAACATTTAAGGGTGGAATTTTCTGAGAATATAGGATAGACACTGACTATACTTTTGACGTAAGCCGCACCTCTAAAACCAACTTTATAAGAAAGTTATACACAAAACAAAATCGTCTAAAAAATTTTGTCCAGTATAGTATGTTATACATCAATAGAGTTTTTTCCTGTTCTGTATATGTAACACAAATGGAAGGTGTAAATATTTAGGACAAGAAGAAAAACATAATCAGCTGTTGCACTCTTCGATCTATATCTTTTCTTTATTTCCTTTTATTTTAATTCTTCGATAGTGACTATTCATGTTGGATAGTTTTATGATGAAAACAAAAAATTTAATTAAATAACTATTGATAAAGGCATATAGCTTATCGTGATGATTTAATTTATATAGTTATAGAAAATAAGGTAAAATCTTTATAGCTATAAAATAAATTTTTAGTTTACTTTCTTTTTTTTTCTCTATTGTTCTTTCGAAAATAAAAAATGATATGAGATAATCAGATATACTTTATTTTAGGGTCTTGATTTAGAAACTATTCGTTATATGACTCCACCAGATCATTCAACAAATTCTTTTATGTCAGAATTTACTCAATTACATTCTATTAAAAATCAAAATAATTCAATTCGATCACCATTTTCTCTATCATCTACACATTTAAATCAATATAATCTTATCTCAAAAAATTTTACATCACCAACAAATATATTTCCATTAATATATGAAAAACAAGTAATACTTGAATGTTTATATACAAAAGATTCAATTGCATATGGAACAATTCGTGTACATAATCTTAATTATAATAAAAATGTTTTTGTTCGTTTAACATATAATGAATGGAAAACATTTAATAATATTCAAGCATATTATTTAACGAGTTATTCAAATAATAATACAGATGTATTTATATTTGAAATAAATTTAGCAAAATTTAATAATAATGATGATAAAACTAAACTAAAAAGAATTTTATTTGCTATTTGTTTACAAACGATGGGAAAAGAATTTTGGGATAATAATCAACAATCAAATTATGTATTGGACGTCATATTGAAAGGTAAATATAAAATTCTCAATATGAATATTAGTTCATTTAGAAGTTGAAAAGTTTGAGGTTATATCACAACGAAAGTTATTTAGTAAATGTTGGCTGAGGATATTTGAATCAATAGCTGAAGTTCATGCTTTTTTATCTTTTAAAAATCTAACAAAATAGTAAAGCATATGTTTTTTATTATAAGGCAAACAATGAGCTATTTAGTATAGAAACCTAATCAGATTACATTTAGAAAATAATATTTCTTTTTTGAAGTTGGAAACTTTTTACTTCAGTAAAAGATAAGAAACCTACGGAAAAAATTTTTTAAATAAAAACTTTGAATGTAAACCTATTTATTCCGTTTTAACAAATCAAAATACTCTGATTCTAAATTGTTTGTAAAAACTGAATAAACTATCTGATCTCTGCGGTGTATTAAAACTGCAATTAATCAAGATTTTATTCTAAAACTTTTTCCATAAGAACTCAGTGATATAGAAATGATAATTGTCATAAAGCATCAAGACATAAACACCTTAGTTAATGTCTGTCTATATTGACACACAGATAAATAACAAATCATTGATTATCAAGAAAGAATAATATTTAAGTCAGTGTCAATGGACATTTTCTATTTGATTAATCGAACAAAATATAATGTTTTTTCTTTTCAAATAAAATAAAATTCATTGATAAAATTTTCGAATATGAAAATAAGACAAACAAAAAATTTAAAATTATGATAAAAATCTTTTTTGAGAATATTTTTATTATAAATTAAGAAATAAGAAGAAGACGATTCACACAGTAGAAACTTGAAAGAATATTCTGAGAATTTTATATATTTAATTATTTTTTCTTTTAGATGATAGATACATTACAAAATAAATTCTTCAAATTCAATTGACATGTTCAACATGCTTTTTCAATTAACAATATCATAACCACAATCATTAGTTTTCATCTTCCTTAAAACATAGAACGCACTTTTTTTTTCCTTTTGTATAATTTGTTTGTGTGTTGTTGGCATGCAATATAAGATCGATTGTAAAGAAAAGAAAAAAACAAATGCTACTAATGTAAATATTTCTATTTATTAGTTTTTTCTATATTTCTTTTTTCTCAAACAATTTAAGATCTATTCGAACATAATCATTCATATTTTTTTTTACTAATTATGTGTTTTCATGAATCCTTATCCGGTATTAATATGCTTTTTTCTTTATTTGATTTAACTATATGTATAGAGGATGTAATGTTTTGTTTTGCTTTTTCTTTTGGTGAATAAGGTAATATTACTGTATTATCGGTGAGCAGATAGATTATTTTTAAGGATGTATATAAAAAATAAACTCAAGATAAAAATTTTTAAAATTTTTCAATCAATGTTTATTTTAAGTAAGAAAATTGAAAAAGAAAAAGAAAAAACTCTGTCTTTCAGTATAGTGTACTATTTATTGGAAGACAGTTTTGCTGACCTGATATGATGAGTTAATCATCGGTACAATTGAACTATATTCACTTATAAGATTTCCTTAGGTAGAGAATTTTTAGATTAAGTCTTAAATTATTTCGATTTTGTGCTAATGAATTACTTGAATAATGAATTTTGATAGATAGTTAAATTTGAAAAACTCAAAAATCTCATTCTGCTTGATTAGAAGATTCTTATTTCTCGGAACATAATTATAAGAAGAATGTTTTTTTTTTATATATTTTGTTACGTATTGAAGAAAATAAGTAAAAGTCAAGACCCATAACTTGTTTTGTTGACTTGAAAGTACAGAAACGAATTACAAATCAGATGAAAGAAACGAACAAGAATAACAAGATTGTAACTATCTTATTACTAACTTAAAACTGATTTTCAACAAACTTGCAATTACATATAACAATATTTTAAAGATAAACATGGATATCTATATATATCGTGTTGACTCATACAACGAAGTGAAAGAACGGAAAGAAAACAAACGAGATATAAAAATAGAAATATTGTTATAGATATTAGAGTTATTACAATATCAAGGACAAGAACAAATACAAATATATGCAAATGAAGATGACTTACTTGCAAAACGAAATATATATATATATATATATATTACGTAATAGACAATATTATTACGACGTAGTATAAAATAAAGTCAAGACCAAATATTATGTTTGTTTGACCTTGATCAACAATAATGAATATAACAGAAATGAAAAGAAAAAATAGAAAATAACAACAGTAAATCTCACGACATGACATATTTTATATAACTTATAATAACACTTAATTACATCAATAACTGGAATTCTTGGTAAATTCTTCTCTCTTGCAAAATAACTTTTATCTTACTCATTTAACTCATATCTAACCTTTCTGATAAATATAATACCTTTATCTTTTTCTTATAAAATATCAAACAAAATGATTTTACTTAGATTTCGAATTTTATTAAAGTAATAAATAACAATAATCAATGTATTTCTGCATGAGGAAAGTATTCTTTTATTAAATCTAGAGATAATTCTGGTTGAATGTCTAAATCTAGATATTTAATTTTGGCATAGTTCATTCATTTAGTATCACTCGTAAAATTATCCGTTACTCTTTGTAAGCAATCATAATTCTCAAGAAG